ATTACACATTAACTACAACAAAATCACTATTAACCATAATCAAAATTTTCGATTATTTTCCTGCAACCCAAATTGTCAAACCACAATACTATAATAAAAAAAGTTGAAGTTCAAAGGAGTCTCGATGGTTGATTGTGAATCAACTTACAGCTGCAGGTAATCATGGTGCTGGAAGTGCAGTCAAAAAGACCCTTCACGCACCAACCTGGCTATCCCAATTGTTGATATGAAGCCAGCGATCTCAATTGTTGACACAGTTTTACTTGGATTCCTTTGGCTGCTCACGGAGAAGATGGATTCTGGCGACCGATGTGCTGTTGCCAATGCTTTGCCAGTGTGCGCTGTCTCGAACATGAAAAAGGCATTGACCAAAAAAAATTTAGGAAAAGGGTAGAAAATTATGGGGGATAGAAAAGGAATAAAAAGTGGAATCAAATTTTATCCCACCTAATTCCATGAGGATGGTGGGATACCTTTTATCAAAGGAGCTCAAGATTAAGATAAAATGTGGGATAATAGTTATTTCATCTTTTGACCCTACCAAACATAAGATATAGCGGGATCGGACAAAATTTTTGTCCATCCCACTATTTATCTGGCGCTCGCTGTAAAATTTTTTCTTATAAATAGTACTGTTATAATTTAAAAAAGTATTTTATTTTATAATTTAAATTATAAAATAAAAATTATTAGATGAGAAAAATAATTTAAACAATAAAGAACTTACTTTTATTTAATTGTTTAAATTATAAAATTTAATATAATTTAAATTACATAATAATTTTTATTTAGAGATTTAGATTATATTCTTTTTTATCTAATTTAATTGTGAATTTTTCTAACCTTTACTTTCATGATAAAGATTAAAAGTATAATAAATATATATTTTTATCATTAATTTGTATTGAAAAAATAAAAGTTAACTTTTAATTTATTAATTATGCAATTAATTAATGCACTTAGTAATGATATTAAAATTAATGTTAACTTTGATATTTTTTATATATATTTGTGATAAAAAAAATGCCATTAACACATGCTTTAAAGGCACATTTTTGATAAATTAATGATAAAAGTGTGTTATATATATACCTCTTACATGTGCCTTAATAAAGCATAGATGAGAAAAATCTCTACTTAAAATAATTACTATTGAAAATAAAATTAATATTCAATCTGTTTCAAAATTACTATTATTATTTGATTTTGAGTTTGTCTTAAATTAATTATCATTTTTTATTTTCTAGGATAAATAAATATTATTTTTTAATTTAACTTTATCATTATTATTAATTTTGATTAATTATCCTATCATTAAAAATCTTACTTTATATTTTAACCTTTTATTAAAGATAGTATTAGTATAGATAAATGTATAAATTATTTTAAATCTTTAATTTAAAAAAAATTAAAAAATAACAATTATTTTAAGGTAAAAAAGTATTAACTTTTATTATTTTTAATAAAAAATTAATAATAAAATAATATATTAATTACACTTTTAATTATACAACAATATATATTTTCACCCTTAATTATATCATAAAACTAAATGTTAAAAAAAATTACTGAGTACAATAAATAATAACTCTCTATGTAAAAAATTCTTAGTGAACTCGTGTTGGAGTCCTTTCTTTCCCCAAAATCCGCAACATTTACGTTCAGAAAAAACAAAAAGAAAGAAAAACCACATGTTAAGAAAAATCATGCACATAAAAGTTCTAACAAATTAGAATGTCCCCACCCCCTCC